CTATTCCTAAACAGATAGAGTTTTCTACCTGCTGCTTGATTATTCACAATGGAAATAAAAAGCCATGCAACTCACAATCTATGAATCCATCTACTCTGAAAAATAAAATTATTTTTATATTGTTCAGAGTCTGCATGAACACAGAAGAATGTGGCTCGAATTCGCTGATGGGGAGAAAATGCCCATCCATTTATTTGAATTCCTAATGGAAACACCTTTGAAACACACTTCCTTCGAGCCGGAGTTGAACCAGCGACCTAAGGATATCTGTCATTAGAACCTACAGTCCTCCTCTCTACCAACTGAGCTATCGAAGGCCCAAGTGAGATTTGACTTTTCAGCCCAATGAATAACACTGAGGGGAGGGGGGTTGTGCAGTTCCTAAACAGACATAGTTTTCTACCTGCTGCTTGATTATTCACCAAGGTAATCAAAAGCCATGCTCCTCACAAGCAATGAATCCAACTGCTCTTGAATGGAGCTCGAAAACTTATTGTGGAAACTGCAATGAGGCCCATCAATATATTTCAAAGTCCAATTGAAGCACCTACGAAAAAAAACATCCTTCGAGCCGGAGTTGAACCAGCGACCTAAGGATATCTGTCATTAGAACCTACAGTCCTCCACTCTACCAACTGAGCTATCGAAGGGGGCTAGTGAGCTTTGACTGTTCAGCCAATCGAACAACAAGGAGGATCGTGGTTCTATTCCTAAACAGATAGAGTTTTCTACCTGCTGCTTGATTATTCACAATGGAAATAAAAAGCCATGCAACTCACAATCTATGAATCCATCTACTCTGAAAAACAAAATTATTTGTATATTGTTCAGCGTCTGCATGAACACAGAAGAATGTGGCTTGATTTCGCTGACGGGGAGAAATTCCTATCCATTTATTTGAATTCCAAATGGAAACACCTTTGAAACACTTCCTTCGAGCCTGAGTTGAACCAGCGACCTAAGGATATCTGTCATTAGAACCTACAGTCCTCCGCTCTACCAACTGAGCTATCGAAGGGGGCTTGTGAACTTTGACTGTTCAGCCAATCGAACAACAAGGAGGATCGTCGTTCTATTCCTAAACAGATAGAGTTTTCTACCTGCTGCTTGATTATTCACAATGGAAATAAAAAGCCATGCAACTTACCTTGGTGAATAATCAAGCAGCAGGTAGAAAACTCTGTCTTTTTAGGAACTGCACAACTCAAATCAAAGAGTGTAGCGTTTACAAAAGAGTAGATATACTAGACTAGAGTACAAGTACAAGTTAGCATACTTAAAATACATTTTACCCAAGCAAAATAAAAATTACTTCTTAAAAGTGTACATAGAAAAAATTATTAAAATACTTCAATTACATTGCACACCAAGGGTTGTGATGAGGTGCTGATCTGGAAGTAGAACTTGTCAAGGTATTGGCTAATAACAATAGACAGACATATGGTGTAACCAATCAGAGAGCTACAACAGAAACCCTAGGGTTCATGGGAAACAAGGTTGGTTGTGAGAGTTATGTGTAAGGATTTCACAATGTTACTGAAGAGTTAATAAAAACTACCTTGGAATACAAATGAACTGTATCCGCCAACAGTTTATATGACATGGTGTCAGAAGTGGTCTGAAGGGATAAGGACCGACGAAATGGCGAAGTTTAGCCCGCCAGAAAACTTCAACTTTGAGCGACCCGGAGACTGGCCTGCCTGGAGACAGAGATTCAGGTCGGCTGCTAAGTTGAATAAGGAAGACGGCGAGGTTCAGGTTAGCACACTTATCTACTAAATGGGCAACGAAGCGGAAAATATATTCAAGTCGTTTACCTTTGAAAAAGGTAAGAGTGAGCACATTTGAGACAGACTGGTTGTTAGGATCCGTGATAAAGAGCTCTCCAGACGACTACAGCTCATGTCGGACCTCACCTTGGAAACTGCAGCGCAGATGGTAAGACAAGCTGAGGACGTCGCACAGCAGATAAGCCAGCAAGAGCAACAGTCAGCTTTCAACGTGCAGGAGGTGACACACCGGCGACCATCAAAGAGAGGTCTCCCACCTCACAGCACATTAAAGAGAGAAGCGATAGACGGGAGTAAGTTGACTCGGGAGACTACAGGTGCTGCCGATGTGGGAAAGAGAAGCACAAGGTCCCAGGCAAATGTCCAGCATTCGATTCTGAGTGTAGACAATGCGGGAAAAAAAGGTCATTGAGAGAAGAAATGTTTCTCAAAGTCTGTAAGAGAAATTACTCACAGCGGAACACTGAGGAAAACTTTTATCTTGGAACAGTGAGTAAAGTGAATCAGAGCAGTGCTGAGCGTTGGACAGAACAGATACATATAGGACACACACCAGTTAGGTTTAGAATTGATACAGGAGCTGATGTTACTGTAATAAACCTGAGGACATTTAAGACTCTTAAGCCGAAGAGAACACTAGTTAGATCTAGCGGGCCTCTAGACAGCCCTGGGGGAACACTAGATATTGTGGGACAGTTCAAAGCTAGTATATTTCATAAACAGAGAAAGCACATCGTTAACATTTATGTAGCAAGAGGGTCTACAGTTAGCAACCTGTTAAGTAGAGAGACAGCGGTAGAGATGGGTTTGGTTAAATGAGTAGAGCAGGTCAGTGCAGCAGCAGGACATGGGGAGATACTTAAAACAGACCCAGTCAAGATCCACCTAAAATAAGGAGCTGTGCCATATGCTCTATATACAGCCAGAAGAGTTCCTCTACCACTTCTCCCCAAAGTAGAAACTGGGTTTCAGCGGATCGAGGAGCAGGGCGTGATAGAGAAGGTCACGCAACCCACAGACTGAAACCGACAGGCGCAGTAAGAATCTGCGTAGGAATCCAAAAGCTGAATGAGAACATCAAAAGAGAGCGTTATCAACTGCCAACGACAGAGGAGACACTGGCCAAGCTGTCAGGTTCCACAGTCTTCACGTCACTGGATGCAGCTTCAGGCTTTTGGCAGGTACCATTGCATGAAAACAGCAGCCTCTTAACCACCTTCATTACACCTTTTGGGAGGTATTGCTTCAAGCGCTTGCCTTTTGGGATAAATATAGCCGCAGAGATATTCCAGCGCAAGATGAATGAACTGCTGGAGGGACTAGAGGGTGTGGCCGTATATATGGACGATGTTATTGTCCATTGGAAGGACATGGCCACAGACAACACACACCTGCAGAGTACATTAGAATGGAGCAGGCAGGTCTCAAACTCAATAAGGAGAAATGTGTGTACAGACAGCCAGAGCTGCGGTTCCTGGGCCACATTGTGGACGCCAACGGAGTAAGAGCAGACCCTGGTAAAGTGAATGCCATCAGTGAGCTACAGGAGCCCACAAATGTCCACGAGCTTAAACGAGCACTGGGCCTGATTAATTACATGAGCAAATACATACCAGACTTGGCAGAGACTGAAAGAAGCCCTTATCACCTCACCTGTATTGGCACACTATGACCCACACAAACAGACAGATGTTTCTGCAGACGCAAGCAGTTAAGGGATAGGGGGCGTCCTTCTGCAGCTGCATGGGGAAAGCTGGAAACCTGTTGTGTACTGTTCCAGGAGGTTGACAGACGCGGAAACCAGGTATGCACAAATAGAGAAAGAATGTTTAGCAGAAGTATCGGCCTGTGAGAGGTTCCAAAAGTACCTACTAGGCATGGACAGATTTAGGCTCATCATAAGCCTCTTGTTCCACTGATAAACAGTAAAGATTTGGATACAGTACCAATAAGATGTCAAAGACTCTTGATGTGGCTGATGCGATTTAATGCCAAGGCAGAACACTGGTCATTGCAGATGCCTTGTCACACAGCCCTGTAAATAACAGAGACAACACCACAGAGACTGATGTTGCTTGTTATGTTAATGCAGTCACACATAGTTGGTCAATATCACAGCAACAACTGGACAGGATATGGGCTGTTACACAGGAAGATGAGCAGCTACAAAGTGTGCAGAAGCTGATCAAAGATGGTTGGCCGGAGCGAGTGACCAGCATCACTAACAGTGCAAAAGACTATTATACAATGAAGCATTCATTGTCATTATGTGAAGGTCTTGTCACCGTGGGCTGTGGCATTGTAATTCCACAGTCTATGAGACAGGAAGTACTGGAACGCCTACACAATGGACATCAACGCCTGTCAAAATGCCGAGAACGTGCTAAAGAATCTGTGTGGTGGCCTAACATATGTGCTGACATTAAACAAAGAGTTGAGACATGTCACTTCTGCCAGCTGAACAAGCGTGCACAGCGCAAAGAGCCACTGCAGCCCACTGCTGCCTGAGAGACCATGGCAAGAGATTGCCACAGACTTATGTGAGTATAAAGGAAAGCAGTATATTGTGATATCTGACTATTATTCACGTTAATTGGAAATCTTGCACTTGCCATCTACCACAACAGACCAGGTTGTTAAGTTACTGAAAGCAAGATTTGCAAGATTTGGCATCCCTGATAAGATAGTCAGTGATAAATGTCCACAGTTCACAAGTGAGACCTGGAAAGACTTTTGCAGAAAGTATGACATTGTACACGTCACATCCAGTCCCCACAACCCACAAGGAAATGGGCATGCAGAGCGTGCTGTTCAAACTGCAAAACGCATCCTTAAACAAGATGACCCACTGTTAGCATTAATGTGTTACAGAGCGACACCAGCGACCTCTACTGGTGTAAGCCCAGCTGAATTACTCATGGGACGGAAAATCAGGACCACCCTGCCTTCACTCAAGCAGAATCTGGTCCCTAAGTGGCCGGATATGGACGCAGAGATGCTGAGGCTAGGCAACAACAAGCATTCTACTTCAACAGGACACACGGTGTGAGGGACTTGCCTCTTTTACAACCAGGAGATCAAGTCTTGGTGAAGCTGAATGAGGACAAGACATGGAGAGGACCAGCATCAACAGTTCTACTCGTCGCTCGTACCAACTCACCGAGGGGGGGAGAGATGAGAAGGAACAGGCGACATCTTCAACTGATACCGTCAGGGCCAGCTGTCACAGAGACTGTAAAAGCGAGCAGAGAGCCAGTAGGAGCTAATACACAACACCATGGCTCCAGTCAGGAACTGTGTGCGAATGATGGACTCAATAGGAACACACAGGAAGGTCTGACAGTGACAAGGTTTGGGAGAGTCAACAAACCTGTAGTCAGGCTAGAGTTAAACTGTTAATTTACTGACAGTAAGTTGAGAAAGGAAATGTTATGGTTACTTGTATTTGATTCCTTAAAATGTGTGTACTAAGATATATATATTAAAATATATATATTAAAGTTCAGAATGTTAAAATCTAGAGCAAAGTGTTTGGGACTTGATGACCTAGAGCAGAGGTGTCAAACTCAAGGCCCGTGGGCCAAATCCGGCCCCCGACTTCATTTTATTTGGCTTGCAAAAAATATGATACGTTTATTATACGGTTTCATGCCACTTTACACAAGCACGATGTCCATACACTACATGTCTGACCAAGCATCTCATTTCGTGACATGCACACTGAAGAGACTTGCAATTATTTGCCCTAGATTTTTGCTCTCAGACGTAGTTATTCATGAAGTTATTACCCTCTCCGATAATAATCCAATGCAGAGGCAATAATATAATATGAAACATTATTTTATATATATATATATATGTATATTTATATAGTCTTAAAGTTACAACCGGCCCTTTGAGTGCAACCTTAATGCTGATGTGGCCCGCAATGAAATTGAGTTTGACACCCCTGACCTAGAGAGAGGATAATTTGAGGGGGAGATATCAAGGTATTGGCAATAGACAGACATATGGTGTAACCAATCAGAGAGCTACTACAGAAAGCCTAGGGGGGCTCATGGGAAACAAGGTTGGTTGTGAGAGTTATGTGCACACGTGTAAGGATGTCACGATGTTGTTGAAGAGTTAATAAAACTACCTTGGAATACAAATGAACTGTATCCGCCAAACAGTTTATTTGACAGAACTATGTGCATATATTTTATTTAGACCTGTTCATTTTGAGAAGGCCTGGGGCCTACCACTGATATAAAATTCTCAAAATATGCATTCCTGAGTAGAGTAACTATAATTAACCAGTGTACACTAAGCATAAGGCTACATGAATAAAAGTTACCTGCCACTTAAACAGCAGAATAGAAACACATGAAAGTCGCAAATACAGGTGTAGAAAAAATATAAGCCCCATTGCAGCATCAGCAACAGTCAAAAGTGTGGCAGCTTTTTTAATTGACGCACTTCGTAGCCACACACAAAGCTACCTTGTACGCACGCGTTTGATGCCCCTGCCATCAAACCGACTATAGCAGAGGATGTAGTTAAGGTCGTAAGGTATGCTAATGTAGCACCTGAGGCCAACGTAATGTGTCTGCGGGTTTTAGTATCCGCTGGGAAGCATTGCTCCCTGGGTAAAGCAGTTTTTTTCCTTTAGTTGTAAAACGATCATCTGAACATGCCTGTGGGAAGTGACGGTACACAAATACAATTCACGGTACTCCAAAGATTAAAATGTGGATATGCCGATACTGTGTACAGGTGAGTACCGGCCCACTTTAAGCACTTAATCAGACTCCCATCAATAGCTACATGACTGTAGGTGGATAATGATCTGTTGAGACTTTAAAAAATATGAAGGGATTCTTTCATTGCTTGAGTTTGTCAGACAAAAGAGCGATTGTGGAGCACATCATTGTGGTCCTTTAGCATCGTCTCACTGTGAATTTCTGTGGAGGAAAAAATGCATTTGTTGGGGACTATTTTGGCAGCCAGTACACATGTTGTGTTTTAGTGAATACTTCTGACTGCAGAATGTTGTTGGTGTGATCACCAGATGCCTAACTGGAATGAAAGGATAGCATAGAATACTTACAGAAATACTTAACTCTGATAAGACTTGAATTGAGGTTATAAATAAAAAATATTTCCACATTAGCCTCATCTTTGTTAGTAAGGCCACAGGTGAATGATAGAGATGCTACCTGTATGCCTTGTGCAGGTGACTGCAGAGCTTGAATGAAGCGCTGGGTATCACAGGGGGCCAGGTCCCCGATGTCCACGTGTCTCCTCTGGAGCCTTGGGGGGACGGGGAACACTCTCCAGGCTGGGTCCCTCCTGATATGTGAGCTACTCTCCAGAAAGCTCGGCAGGTCACCTGACAGGTCCAAATGGGCCTTTCTGGACACTCGTAGTTTTAGAACCTGAAACAGAGTGTCGACGCCATATCCTGAGATCTGAGTCTTTAATGCGTAAACAAATACACTTTTTTTGTATCTGTCTTACCTGATCAACCTCCTCATCAAATGTGGAGATCAGCTCATGGAGGAAGAGGAGGGAGTCTGTGGTGAAAATGGTCTCATATTCTGCCTTTAGACATGACGGGGGGGGGGACAGCTCCATGTTATCTAGACCCTGTGGACAGAAAGAGTATTATAATGCATGATATTTATGCTCAATCTCCATATACACAAATAGAAATAGATAGGACCCACAAAAGCACTGAAATGTTATTACCTCATTCATGTGTTATGGCAAACAGCTTTTTTATTATGCTTCCAAGTTGAAGGGAGCAACAGGACCCTTCACCTGGAGTCCTCTGTTTGTGCATTGTACATTTAGCTGTTTTTTGTCTGCAAACAACAGAGAGAAATATCTCTCTTTAGCTGCTAAATGCTGCACTATGTTCACCAGTTTCTACATGTGTCTCTCTCTGCTGTTGGAGGGTACAGTGTCTTTATGACTGAAAGCAGCTGCCTGGTAACAAAGCTGATGAGAGCAGTGAACGTGAAAACATGGACTGAAAGAGGATTAAAATACTGAGGGGAGATAAAGAATACTTTTCTGTGGGATCATTACTGAGACCTCTCTCACATTAAAATGTGAAATATAATAAAGAATTTCAGTTATTACAGAATGCAGCAGATCGTCTTGTTTCAACCTCCCTAAGTTCTCCCACCCTACACCACTCCACCGCTCCCTTCACTGGCTGCAAGTGAACGCCCGAATCAGCTCACTGCTTACCGTGATGTGAAGGGATCCGGTCCTTCTTAAAACCAGGACATGGTTAAACCAAACACTTCAGCACATGCACTTTTCTCTGCATCAGCTGATTGGCTGCTTACTCCCTCACTGTGAGTTGGACCCAGGTATCCCCTCATGTTTTAGGCAAGAAAAGGCAAGTTTCTTTATAAAGCCCCTTTCAACAAAATGTAATTCAAAGTGCTTTACAAAAATGAAAGACATTACAGCATTAATTTATAGTGCAACGGAATCACATTATTAAATGACATTGAAAATAAGTCATTAAATAGCAAAAACAAGGGCTGTCATGTAGCTCAGTTGGTAGGGCTCACAGCCCATGTACCAGGGCTTGGTCCCCAAACGGAGGACCAGGGTTTGAATCTGGCCCAGGTCTGTGTGCCGTGTGTCATTCCCCCCTTTCAACTCTGTCACTTGAATAAAGACACAGGTGGCCAAAAAAAAAAGTGTAATGAATAATCTAAAACTAAAACAAGCTATAATAGAATAAGACATGTATACAATTCTAAAATGATGTGCAGCGTAAAATATGAATAGTCAATCCTTTGACAGACAGGAAGCCAGTGTAAAGACCTCAGAACTGTGATGTGATCCACTCTCTTAGTGGCGAGTCTACTGACATTTTATGTAGTTATTTTTTTCATTAAAATGTGTCAGCTTTATGAAATGTTATGTAAAATGTCCTTCAGGAATATGTTTCAGGAGCCCAATGGTTTCAGCACACACCATCGGACTGATTCAAGCCCCACAGCATGTTGAAGCCCTGATAAGATTGTTTTCGTTCAATTTCATGCTAAAAAAATCCTAAGGCTTATCAAAGCAGACAGCACTTGAACGATCACAGAACACTAACACAAATGAAAAGCTTGGAATGTCAAAGTCCACCGTGCAACACACTGTTAACACCTCCTCACATTGTTCCTTTCCATCACCCTTAATATGGCTTTCATTACTGTCCATGCAAAATCAAGTAAAATGTTGATACTCACTGACATGCTGATGACTGCTCTGTTCACTCAGTACAGATGGACTTTGGTAATGGGGTTTACTTTGGTCACTGTTTGAACAGGAGAGTTTAAAGTTCCATATTCTGTGTATTGACGTTTGAGGCTATTTAAACATGCTGCCCCTTAACAGCATTTATGGTTAACTTGATAATACTGTAAGCATACACAAGAATGCACAAATATTTTGGATTCTGTTTTACTGGTAAAACCCCCGGCTCAACATATCCTGAAGGGGCCGCACCGTCTTATTGATTTTATGCACTTATAAATGTGCTGTTTTTTTTAAATGTATATTATATTCCATGTCTTTCTAAAATTATGAAATGAAATGTACATGTGATTGACTCCAAACATGTTATAGGAGAAGAAGGTGGGCACCATTTTCATTTAGAATTACAATATAGGGAGAAAGACATGCCTTCTGCCATTCAATGTCAGATATAATCCCTGTACCATTGTTTCAATTGTTTTTCTTTCATAATGGAAGAGTTACTAAATGATCAAATGACCATAGGAGCAAAGAGCGGGGAGGGAATCTCGGAAGTGTATTCCAATCAAGAAGATTGTTGGAATCACTGCAGGTAAAGTGTAGTGGCTGTTGAGACAGGCTCAGATCTCAGAGTTTAAATGTATATACTAGTTTGATTAGAGGACAGGATAAGCATGGGTTCCCCTGTGGCCCTCCTCAAAAAGTCTGTTGTGCTGTAACCTTAGCCGAAGTTAACTTAAATGCATTTAGTTTTTCACAATGAACACCAATCACACTGCAAAAACTGAAACATTGTCTTTAATTAAATATATTATGTCAACAGATTTCACAAAGCAATACAATTCAGTTTGAATACAAAATATTAGGTTAAAATCTGTTGACGTATTACAATTAATTAAAGTCAACGTTCAGTTTTTTCAGTGCATGATATTTTATGTTTTTATTTAAAATCTTGAACACTGTCTTTGTCTCTTTTGTCCCGCCTTAAATGTGCCCCTCTCATGAACTAACTGGCACCAGCTTGGTGAAATCGGTCAAGAAACGCCACTGAGGAAAGGGGCTTTCCTCACATGAGAGAGAGAGATGAGAGTGAGAATATTTTCAACGAGTTCATGTCTGCACACACGTTTGTGTTAATACTAATAAATGTTACCTTTTTAACAACCACCTGCACACGAATAACAACCTGTCCTCTACTGTGTCCTGCTCAAGGACCTATTTCTACTGACAGAATGCGTGTTTAGTATTCAATTGTTGTCAATGTCTGTATTGATTGATATCATGATTGTGATTTTATTTTCTTGCTACGTAACCCACATGTCACTTGGTATAGGCTTAATTTCAGAGAAAGAAATAACTCCTGTAACTCCAATCCGACGATCAGGAATATTCTATGATAAGCATCACCTGGAATGATTGGAATTTATAATGTAATTTAATTATGAATTGTAAACTTGTCTTAAATGTAATACAGTTATCTAAAAAGCACAATAAACTTAAATGTCTTCCTTTCTGACAAACTCTCATACTGTCTCTGAACTAATGTTTTCAATAATAAAAAGGTACTCACATCTTATACTTAAAGGTGGGGTAGGTAATTCACTTCAGAAACACTTTTTGTTATATTCCATGGAATGCTCTTAACATCCCGATATCAATGAATACATTAAATGCTTTGACAATAAATATATACAAATATTTCATCTGTGGAAGCCGTGGCGCTATAAAAAGCACGACCAATCATCTGAGCCGGGCCGGCTCAGATGATTGGATGGCCTACCTGCCTGTCAGCCTTCCATCTGTGCACAAACTTATCTCGTGGCCTCATTGGTCATGTGCGCGTGTGTTGGAGGAGGGGCTCTGTAAGGAAGTCTGAAGGAAGGGGCAGATTTTTTTCAGTTGTGTACTTTCAAATTCTAGCGCACTCGAGCTGGTTTCTCCATTCTTACCTACCCTACCTTTAAGTAAAAGTTATAATACAGCAGTGTAGAAATAAAAGTCCTGAATTGAAAATGTTACTTAAGTAAAAGTACAGATGTATTAGCAGCAAAATGTACGTAAAGTATCAACATTAAAAGTAGTCCTTAGGCAGAATGGATATTTTCAAAGTATTACATTATTATGGTTATTATAATATTCAGTTTTCATCAATAATATGTTTAATTTATGTTAAATATGTATAAATGTGGACAAAATGTAGATACTTGAAATACTGTGTAGATTAGTAGTACAGTACTGCATTATACCAGTACACCATATACCAGTCTACAATCAAATAATATCATTTTAATAAACTAACTCTCCTTGTCCCCAATCTGTCTTTCAGAGAAAGAAAATGTGGGGAGAGTAAAGGAAAGAAGGTGGAGGGCATCTGTGAACTCAGCAGAAAGGTAAATATTATATAAAATAATACATATACATTGTTGTAGTGATTATTTATAATACAATATTTTCACTGGATATTAAAACTATAACCCCCAGATTGTCTTTTCTTTGTCTTTCAGATGCAACATTTTCTGAGATCACTCAATGCAAATACTTTCAATGAAAAGTGATAAAAAAAAGAAGGAAATGTCTCAGTTCAGTTTCTAAGGTTTATATAATTTTGCACTTGATATTATTTATTGGAAAATCAAAAGGCAATGCTTTTTCATATTGTTTTACAGCTACTATGTTTCATGGTTCTAAATGCTTCAGTTAATTGGTCATATGAAGTGGGGTAAAGGAGCAAGAAAGGTGGGAAAAGAGGGGAAAGGGAGGCTTCTATTTCGTATATGGCTTCGCCCTCTAAGGCTATCGCTATTGGGTAATCCCCTGCGCACCCGCGCAGCACTCAAGGTTCAAGGTTCAAGGTTCTTTATTGTCAATCTGACATAGCTACAGAGTAATTATGCAGTTGAAAATCTTATGTCACAGGCTTCTCCAACAATGCAACATAATAACATAACATAATAACAATAAGAGCAAGAGCAATACAAAAATAATAATAGTTATAAAAATGAAATAAAGTTATGATGTGGAATAGTGCAGTATGAGTCTATATACAAGTTATTGGAATGATATATATATATTAGGTATTAGATACATACTACTGAGTAGCAGTTGAATGTTTGAAGTTGTTTCAACAGTTCAATTTTTTAACAGTCTCACTGCCCGCGGGAAGAAACTGTCTCCGAATCTTCTTGTCCTTGCCAGGATGCTGCGGTAACGTCTGCCAGACGGCAACAGAAAGAACAGTTTGTGGCTGGGGTGATGGGGGTCTTTGATAATCCGTAGTGATTTCTTCCTGAGCCGCTGGGAGTAAAGGTCCTCCATGGATGGCAGCTCCGTCCTGGTGATGTGCTGTGCAGTTTTCACCACCCTCTGTAAAGCCTTACGATCGAGGTCGGTGCAGCTGCCGTACCAGGCCGTCATGCTGCCAGTGAGGATACTCTCTATCGTGCACCTGTAGAAGTTGCAGAGTATCCTGGAATCCATTTTGAACCTCC